CGTATCTGGCCCCAAGGGTCAGGTGAGCTATGCCTCAGCATCATGGCTGGTCCTGGCCGAGGCCTTCCCGAAGGATGTGGCGCAGACTGCACTGCTCAATACCCTTTCTCATCCTGAAGCTCTCAAGCCTCTGACGCCCTATCTATGGCATCACATATGCGACGCTCTTGCAACCGTGGGATGTTATGACAAGTGCATCGAGATTATGACAGATTATTGGGGAGGAATGGTTAAGGCTGGCGCGGATACGTTTTGGGAATGTTATAACCCGGCAGACCCAAAGGCAAGTCCTTATGGTGATGTTAGAAATAATAGTTTCTGCCATGCCTGGAGTTGTACCCCTACCTACTTGCTGAGAGGGAAGCTGAAAGAGTTCGTGGGGGTGAAGGGGACGAAGACGGTTACGATGGGTGGCTTGGACGATAGCTGGATTCAGTCTCAAGTCAACCAATAAACACCTAGCGAAGCTACCTGAGGCTGTTGATGAATCATCACGGGACGGGGAACGACAAATCAATCATAGACTATAGATCTGCGGAGAACATTATGATCATTTCCCGAATGATATGTGCAGCTTGGCTTTTCCAATAAAGTATGTACAGGATAATATGATCAGCTCAACAGGAGAGCAGTGTGACTGGTCTATGTTCTGGCGACAGGTCCGCTTAGGCAGAGCCCAGCAGCGCGGTCTTGGGCTTCTGGCCAGGGAAGAAGGTGGTGGGCAGAGCAGGGATGTCGATGGAGGTCGAGAGACCAAGACCGGCGGTGATCTGGCCAGGCATGGTGGTGGCCTCGTAGTTGGCAACAGTCTTGGTGGTAGCGGTGCTGGTGTAGGTGCCGGAGCCGGTGCGCAGGCAGTGTCCAGAGCCGAAGGCGTTCTCGCACTTGTCGACAATGGACGAGCCAGCATCGGTCCAGATGTTGATGCTGGAGACGTCGATGTTCTCGCAGGGGACGGCAGCAGCGCAAAGGACGACAACGGGGCCGCGAGAAGCACCGTTGGCAGCAGTACCCTTCCAGTTGGAGAAGGTCAGGTTCTTGTACTCGACACCGCTACCCGAGACCTTGCTCTGTCCGGCCCAGGCAGAGTCGATCTTGAGGGAGTAGGCGTTGCCGTGACCGATGAAGTTCTCGAAGCGAGAGTTCTGGAAGACGCCATCACCGCCGTTGTTCTTGATCATCATCATCTGGTTGGAGTTGACGGTGTAGATGTTGCGGTAGGTGATGTCGGAGATGGCGGTGTCAGCGCCGAGGGAGCCGATAGCACAGCCGCCAGACCAGTTGCAGAAGATGTCCTCGATAAGAATGTGGCTGGACTTGTTCTTGACAGTGACGCTGAAGACTTATTAGCCAAAATTCTGCCCAAGTGGAACGGTCACGGAGCCTAGAGCCCGGCTTCCGGTCCCGTCCGGCAAATGCGACAGGCACCGCGAGACAGTGGCCGGGTTCAACCAAACCGGCCTCACGGAGAAGAAAAGTGAACTCACCACTCGTCCTTGTTGGTAACCTCGACGTCGTGAACGTGGACGTTGGTGCAGGCCATCAAGTCGAGACCGTCAAGGCCACCCTCGTTTCCTCCGCGGATGATCATGTTGTAGACCTCGCCGTTCGTGCAGGTGTCCAAGATGATGTGGAAAGCGGGCGAGTCAACGAGAGCAATGTCGTGCACGCTGAAGTTGGTGACAGAAACGAAGCGCAGGAGACGGGGTCTGCAAAATCATGGTTAGAATTGCACGAACTCATGTTGTAGAATCATCGGTCTCACCCATAGACACCCTTGCCCTCTGCATCTTCGTTAGCACCGCGACTACGTGAATGCAGAATGCTGACAACTTACGCTTGTGGAATTCGTAGCCATAGCCCTGCATGGCACCCTTGGAGTTGCCGCTGTAGAACTCGACATCGGTGGACTTCTGAACAATGATCATGTGGCCACCAGCAGTGCCGGTGCGGTAGATGGTACCCTCGAGGTTGATCGAGACACCAGAACCGCCGGAGAGCGTCTGCCAAGTGCTCATGCCCCATTCTCCGGACGGAATCAGGATCTCTCCGCCAGTCTTGCAGGCATCCCAGGCAGCCTTAAGGGCGGCGCCGATGTCACCAGTGGCACCGGTCTTGGCACCGTAGCTGGTGATGTTGCATGTCTTCTTGGCCGCCTTGGCTTCACGCGTGGTGGACGGTCCGACGGTACCGGAGAGCTCGGCGGCGGCCCAGCCCGGGAGAATAGCGCCCAGCGCAAAGAGTGAAAGGGAAGCGAACTTCATGTTGGAATTTGTGAACAAATGAACGACTAACAGTCAAAAAATGAGAGACATGGAATGGTCAAGGGAGTGACAAGAACAGCAAAACAGGCGACAGTTACCTACAGAGTACGAGAGGGACTCTTCGGGATGATAAATATGGAATTGCATCTCCTTCCGCAGCCCGCTTCCTCCTTTCCCCCCTCCTCCAACCGAAGCCGTCCAACAGACCAACGATCTTAGCTCGGGCATTCTTTGCCAGAACCAGCGCCGCGTCCCATTTCCGCCCACAGTCCCCAAGATCCGACCATCGCTTGTGGGAAATTGTACGGAGAGCGGTGTTGAAACTCGCAGGCTGACCACAAATGGCACACACTGTTCTACAACCGGGATTCTAGCGCCGTGTTAATTAAACCAACAACACAGACAGTGGGCATGCTGCGCGCTCGCCTGCCCAAATGCCGTCCCAAACGGGGGCTACAGGTATGGAATAAAGTAATGAGTGGCGCTATCGGAGCCTGGCCACCAGGCGATTCTCCTCATCCCGGCTCCCCTGTCAGGGATGTTGCCTGCCAGGTGACTTAACATCAGCATCCCTACTAAGCAGCACGCCTTGTAATTCGCGAGTTCAATCTTTCCACGAACGACTTTGTTGGAGAGTTTGCAGGGGCCTGCTGGGGAAGAGTGGTGAAACGAAAAGAAACGATGCCGATGAGCCGCGTCATTTTTGCAGTTCGTCCCGTGTTGGTCAAACAAAATCCCATTTGTTTGGCACACGCTGTCGAAGTCATGGCCACGGAAAGATTAAAGAGGAGATCACGTCGCCATTTTCAATTTCTTGTCTGTCCATCTGCCCAGCGACACCCCGACTATTTGGAGATCACGGCATTGAAGACGACGCTGACCGGCGTCATGTCCCAACAAAATAACGGCATCCCACTGCCGGCAGCCTACCCCTGACGGCAGTCTAGCTCCTCGATTAAATTGCGATATGGTAGCATCAAACAGACGCACTTTACGGCGGCCTTCTACTTCCGGACGAGACAAGCTTCTAGCTGCCGTCCTCCCGGGACAGTCGCCAAGCACCGTGCCGTCACGGCGAGGGCCCGTTGGTTCAGGCGGAAGGGGGATGCATTTCGGACAGATCAAGATCCAGGATCGGTGGTTGATGGACCCTCAGGAATCGGGGAAAATTCTCCGTTCATCGCGCAACCGTTTTTTTTGATGCGTGCGACTCCATCGATCGTGGAACCCTTTTACGGAGTGCTGGAGCAAACCCCCGCACGAGGCCTCGTAGTTGAAGATTATCAGTGAAATTAAAGTCTGGTCTCCATCGACGCTGACTCGTAGTAGCCGATGACAACAGAACGACACGCAAACATGTTGTACTCGTACGACGCTGCAACGTGTCGGAGCTGATAACCAACTTATTAATATTGTGCACGCTCCAGTACCTTTTGATTTATGCCTGGCACCAGCGCGTCGCACAGCCCACTCTGCGGTTGAAGCATCAGAGACGGGAGAAATGAGGGCCTCACGGCTCGTTGTCATATCGCACGTCGGCAGCATTCAGCAGGCATCCTGCGATAGCAGTCTCGTTTTGAGAATCAATAAAGGCTATTTCGAGAATACACAGGGCTCACTATATAGCTAAGGGATCATAAACAATGCACGATAGCCCCAACTGGCTTTTGCAGAAATCATGGACATCGAACAAGCCTCCACCACGCTTCTTCAGCATCTGACCACACATAGCCTTTAAGTGGCCTACCACTAAGATCTCGATAAACTGCAGCTCCCCTCAACATTCTTGTTGCCAAGAATAAGCTTACCATCCTTCCACTGCAGCTTCCGGCAGGCGACCAGCCACGAGGCTCGGAATCGGAGACCGGGTACTCCTCCAGTCTGTGGCGTCTGACAGCGAGACTGCGCCGCCGCCTCCGAGGCGCTCGAGTTCTTCCTGTAGACCTAATGCAGTCTGGTTACCAAGGCTCTATACCAGTCCTTCCCGCGTCTCAGCCCCAGAAACTCAGCCAAAACCTGCAGCTCCGCCCAGCTACGCTTATCGCGCTTGTTTGATCAGAGCTGCAACGCCTTGCATACAGCTTTGGGCGAGTTTCCAAGCTTCCCATTGGATCCTTCTCGTCTAGTCCGGAGGGAACGACTGAGAGAGACAACAGAGTATGCAGGTCATGCAGCAGCCCCAATTAGCCTACTGCCGACACACAATGTGTACGGTTGTTCATCAGCCTCTACGGAGGATGCCGGCATTATGAGTCCCGGCCGGGGGGAGTGTATTTGTCCGCGGTCAAACACAGGTACTCGAAGTGTGTTGGCTTACACTAGATCACAGCTCCAAAATAGAAGGCCTCACAGCCATAGCCCATCACAGACAAGTGTGCTGTCGCCTCAACATGGCTTGCGATCCGCAGTGTGACCTACCTCCATGTAGTCGGGTCTAGGAATACATGGAGAATGGTTCCCGAATATGGAATCCTACGTCCCTATTCTAAAATGAAGTTTATAAAATGATCGCGTCTTCTCCATTATGATGCTATCTTCTCTTCTCATCATCAACACAGCTACTCAAGACAACTCAACAACCTCAACAATTTTCCTTCTCTCTTCTCCTTTGTGATTTCCTTGTTTCCTTTGTGGATCTATCTCTTTAAGAAACTCGTACAAACATCCGATTATTCTCTTCACAAACTTAACTAGTCGAACCCTGCTTGATCTACTATCCATCCTATCATCCTCACCATGCATTCTTCCATCTTCTTTACCGTCTTCGCCGGCATCGTCGGTATCACTACGGCATCTCCTACCGAGTCAAACACTGATCCTACCGTCTGCGCTCCGGGCACCGGTTTCTTCCAATCCTGCAGCAATGGCTTCAGGGGCTGCTGCAAAGCCGACGCTTGCACCATTGGGTACTGCCCCGATGTGACCGTCACCTCATCCAAGACTGCCATTGTTACGGCGACCCCCGTTCCCGAACACAAGGCTCACTGGCAGCCCGAGACCGTCTCCGATCCGACTGTTTGCAAGCCCGGCACTGGTTTCTTTCAGTCTTGCTCAAACGGCTTCAGAGGCTGTTGTAAGGAGGACGCCTGCACTTTAGGCTACTGCCCCCCTGCCTCTGAAAAGCGCGATGAGACTGTCTGCCCTCCTAACACCGGCTTCTTCCAATCCTGTGCCAACGGCTTCCGGGGCTGCTGCAAGGGCGATGCCTGCACTCTTGGTTACTGCCCCGATGTCCCTTCCACCGTTGTCAAGCGTGACGATCCGACTGTATGCGCTCCCGGCACAGGGTTCTTCCAATCTTGCTCGAATGGCTTCCGTGGATGCTGCAAGTCTGATGCTTGCACTCTTGGATATTGCCCTTCCAGCACAGAGAAACGCCAGGACCCAACTGTTTGTGCTCCCGGCACTGGCTTCTTCCAGTCCTGCAACAACGGCTTCCGCGGATGCTGCAAGCAGGATGCGTGCACCATTGGCTACTGCCCGGACGTCAAGAGCTTCGAGACCGTTACCATTGCTCCCAAGACTTCGCCTACTCCTACGCCTGAGGCTAACCACAAGTGGCAAGCTGAGCCCAAGAAGACCGACCCGACTGTGTGTGCCCCTGGAACTGGCTTCTTCCAATCTTGCAGCAATGGCTTCCGTGGATGCTGCAAGGCTGACGCCTGCACCATTGGTTACTGCCCTTCCAACTAAGCATACTATAAATGATCCAGGAGTTGTGGTACAGACGGTAGTTTGTTAGATGATGGTATAGATTGCATTGTATCAGAGGGTTAGATCAGCATTTTAGCGTCTTTTAGGGATTCATTTTCACGGCGTTTTGGCTACACATAATACAACCACATTCCTTTACATTTTGACGGCCTTGTATTCTATGTGGACTGTTTTTCACAACCGCATTGAGTTGTTAGACTCCCCAAATTCACCAGATCGAACTTTGCCAACTTCATTAGACCGACTTATGCCTTAAGCAAGTTTGCACTTTTGTATAGGAGTTTCTGTTTTCTGACCAGGCGCAAACCCATTGGACAGACTAGTTATTACATCCTTGGTACGAATAGCATAGCGATACTATGGTAGACTTTCGCCTTAGCCTACATGTAGACCTTGTGAGGTTTCCGAATAACGGTGGTCCAATAAGGGTAGCCTCCTATGTTGTGATTGAAGAAATAGTACAACTTCTTTCACGTGGCACTCCAACCTAGTGTACATATTCAATGACAGAATGATGGCTGCAAGTCTCTCTGTAATTGTTGCGACCCGGCGGACCGTTTAATACATGGGAGGAATTGCAGAACTTTGCATAGTGTGCCCGGCATAAACCTTCACAGACAGGGCGTGGCTGGGCTTAAAAGGTAGAAGAGGAACGTTGTGAACTCTCGACCAGCCGCGGACGTCGGGGATGAAGACTGGAGCGGGAGCTGTCCCCGCAAAACAAGATTGACGAGTTTCAAGTTGACATCAGCTGAAAAACCTTATCTGCGTTTCCCCTGGGACCGTCTGTAAGATGACAAGGCTTGATTAACATTTCGGACGATTGATCTGATGGAGGAGGTCCCTTATTGGAACAGCAAAACGTCTGCATCGGGACATCACAAGGCCAGGTCGATATCTTAGAACTTCTTGTGCATTCTGTCATTACATTATACTAATATGTACTTTGCATCATCTCATGACTTTCAATCTCTTGTCGAGATGGTATTTTTCCTCCTCTGATCCTTCTCCACCATAGCAAGTTCACCCATTTAAGGGAGGTTCTGGGGAGCGTAGCTCTGGTCGGGGTTGACAGCCTGGCCGTTGACAAGCTGCTTGTCGGTGTAGGCGGGCCAGACGATGAGCTTCTGGTCGGTGATCGAGAAGGTGGTGAAACCGGCATCGGGGCCGAATTGGCCGCTCCAGCCAGAGGTAACGGTGTAGGCGCCGCACTTGGCGTTGGAGGCAGCTCTGCTGGCGGGAGAACCGGTGGTGGTGAAGGCGCAGGCAGTGGCGTCCGCCGTGTGGGTGTTGATGGAGAAGCTGTAGTTGCAAGAGGTGTCCTCGGCGTTGCAGGAGCGAGTGAACTTCTCAATGGTCCACTCGGGAACGGCGGCCATCATGGACTTGGAGTCACGCTTCTCAACGGGGGAAGCGGAGACGGCGGCAGCAGCCAGGGCAGAGAGGAAGATGTTGGTGATCTGCATTTTGGAGGTTGGGGGTTGTAGAGTGTTGAGTAAAAGTAGTATCAAGGTTGTGGATTGGTAATTGAGGTGGTAGTGATTGTCCTGTTGGAGTGATGATCCAAATTTTTGCTTCTGGGGAGGAATCTCTGGTCTTTAAGTATTGCTCTGGATGTCAAGGGGTGTGCCCTTTGGAGGACTGCACGTGAAGGTGCCTGACAACGTGAACGCTCTGCCGAGAGACTCGAACGATTCGTAAAGTGACGTTGCCATCGTGTTCCGGGTCGCATTCTGGGAACCGAGAAACCGTGGAGCACTCGGCCGCTTAGCCACCCAGTCACCGCTTCCTTCGTGCCGTCATTCCATTATGACAACAATGCCAAAGTGACATGACCTTGAGGGTAGGCGACTTTGCGATCAGGAACTTGGAAGTTACTCCGGGTGTCCAGGAACCTCGCTTAATTACGTATTGAGTTCATTCTGACAGCGAAAGTGGCTCAACCGGGTCCAGCGCATCGCCTAGAAGCCAGGTTATCCAGCCACCAAAGCCCGTTTTGTTGAATGGTGGCTAGTGATGCTAGGAGAACACAACTGACAACCCAGGACTGATTCTCGTATTCAAGGTCGCATGCATTCAATTTCTGGGGCAGGTGGACATCAACTCCAGGCGCATGACGTACCGTGATGAGACCCCGAGATTAATACGAGCGCTAACTGCCGGGGCCAATTAACCATAACAACACGACTCCACGTACTAATCTTCTTCCGGGGCCCCGATCCCTCCGACCATCGTCGCCTTACTGTGCCGCCTCCGCTGATCTGCCTGTATTTCGATTGATTCTTCCTAGCGTTTCTTCTAGAATGATATGTTTAGCGACCGGCTGAGCCGAGCCGATGCTTTCCTCTGGGTGCTGCCGGTGCCCGAGGAGCGCCCAGTCGGAATCGCGGGGTAGCGGTGACCCGTGGGATTCACCGATGGGCGGCTGAACGCGACGGACTGGACCTGCATTTTCTCCCTTGAGTTGCTCGGCACCTGGGCTCGCTATGTATCGCCACACGCTATGAAGCAAGCTGCCCTGATCAGCGAGGAAATTGACGGGACCTGCAAGCTGCATGCATGAACTAGACAACACTAAGATGCAATCAGACAGGAGGATCCGTTAAGGCCAGGTATTGCTCCTCCCTTCTGAGACTGGTGAGAGGCTTGTCGACGAACACGAGAAGGAAGCGGCGTAGATGGGTCAAATTCATCCCACATGCATGCTCAAAAGTTGATAATCAGGCTGTTTTTTGCGATTCAACGAGAGCAACATGAATGGATCGTCAAGTGCTGACATTTGGGCAGTGCTGCTGCCTGGGCACTTGCGATAGTAAACGCAAATCCTGGATTTGAAGTAGGGCTTGAATGCTAGCGGTGTCTCGCAGACAAGTAACACCGCTTGCTTCCGCCAGGGCGTAGTTAAACGTTACAACGACTTTCCGTAATTGTCAAGTGGCCGCTACTCATTGCCACCATCTTCAATTAGGAAACGGATTTACATTTCCGACACTTCAACCCGTCGCAGAGTCGAACACCCGAATTCGTACTCCAGGAGCAAGTTGCATTGGCTTTACCCCCTGCGCTCCGTATGAATTGAATGTTGCAATTACTCAGTCACCGCTTTCTTACAAATGATTCAAGATGGAAAAACAAATCAGCCCATTATTGATATCATGTTGACCCTGCAGGGAAGTTTCGTCAGATAACAAGGCGATGAAATGATCTTGTCTAACCTCCCATCGTTTGGAAGATAGACTAGTGGTTGACATTCACTGTGAAGTAACATAGTGTATTAAAGTGTACTTTTTAGAAACTCTGCTAGTACGTAGGCTACCTTTATAGCTACCCCCTTTCCTTCTTCGCTTCTCTCTTCCCGCTTTTAGTAGTTAAGAAGGACTATAGCTATTATTATACTTATTTTATTTATATAGTTCTTATATTATAAAATTTCCTCTAATTTATTAATATCTTTTTTAAACTTTTTATTGTTAAGTTTTTACAAAGTTCTTATTTATTAATATATCTACTAAAACTATAATACATATACTTTATATCTAATTTATTATTTTATAGATATGAAAGATATATAATAACTTATAAGATATAAATAAAGTATTTATAATAGTTTTTATAATTATTTTTAGTTATAATATTAAAGAAAGTATTATTAATAAACTATTTAAGTTTATATTTATTTTCTTTTACTATTTAAATATTTTACTCCTATTTAGTTATTAGTTATTCTTATAATTAGTATTTTAGTTAACATAGGTTTAAACATAATAAGTTAATCTTATTAGAGATAGTTAATAAGTAGAGGAAAAATAAACTTATATTCTTTTTTTTATATAATCTTATATAGTAAGTTATCTATAGGTTATTAAGGTTATTGATAATATTCTTATAAACTTAGATTAAAGCTTTCTTAGTTATTATAAATAGTATTATAATATATAATAGGTATCTATTAAAATATAAATAGAATTTTTATAGTGTGGCGTAAACCTCTATAAATTAGATGTAGCTAGGCTTAAAAGGTGGAAGACTGGTGGTTGACTCTTATCTCAGAGTAAAACGTTAATCTCTTAAGCGTGAGATATGTGATGCGGGGCGCGGAAAAAGAAAAGAAAAAAAGAAATGCCAGACCATGAGCGTACTTGAGCTGCCCAGAGGCGGATTCGAACCGCCGTCAACACGGTATCGCTGAGTGACGGAGACCACAACGTATCATCCTAACCAACTAGACGATCTGGGCGACTGGAATCGTGGCTGATTGGAAACAGCACGAGGTAGCGGGACTCTAGTTGGTGGCGCCAATCGCAAGACGCATCGTGAAGACCAATTCCCTGAGAAGTGGAGCACATTGTGATTTTTGTTTCTTAGGGTGGGGTTAATTTCGACTGAGAAAGCTACTGAAGAATACTACAGCACGAGAAGTCTTTCGTTCTCTCTGAGTGCGGACTGCAAATCTCGTCCGTGCAACTCTTGAAGAGGCAGTCCGAGACGCCTCGCTTCGACAGTGTTAAGGAGTTCCAGCAGTGCATTCCAATCCTGTTCAGTTGTTCCCATGTCCCAAAGCCCTCCATCCTCCTGCTGCTCTCCCTCCTCGTCTTCTTCCGACCACTGAGTCGGGCCCATTCCCATGTCATACTTGTAGTATCGAAGGAATTTCTGTCCTACTTGATCAAGTCCAACACCGTTTTTATACCTCACTTGTGGCTCACGAGTCCCAACAACCTTCTGGTGCGGTCCTGGAGAGGCGAAGTTCAGAAAGACCTGGTCTTGAAGTTCTTGTCTGAACTTGGAACGCTCCCTCCTGTACTTCGGCAAGGCAGCATCCACTTCGTTCGCGTTATTGTTCGTGTTCTGGTGCCAAAATTCCGCATTGTAAATGGCGTCGTTATGCTCTCCGTTCCATGAACCTGAACCCACTTTGAGAATCTTCAGGCCTTGCATGGTGTCCTTCCAACGTGAGAACACAGCATGCCATCGAACGTCGAATTGAACAGTAATATCGTTCCAGTCTCCCGCGCCCTTATTTACAAACCATTCCTTGCTTGGATAGTTGTCGTTGGGAATCTCCATCGAGTTGCCATCGCTGTCTGTGCCAATGACTGTCGTACCTGTCTCGAGTGGTGCAGCAATATCAGCTTGAAACAGTATGATGCAGTCATCGAGATATAGCTCCTCAAGTCCTCCGCTATCATTCTGTCGGCCAAGAGAAGCGATCCAATCGATCTGCCATTCGTGGCTGAGAACGTAGTTTCCGAGTGCGAGGACCCTCAGAGCAGGAAATCCAGAATCAGGCCCAACCCCGGGGTTCACGGCTCGAAGGTCTAGCCGAGGGCACCAGCCCCAATAATCCTTGCAGTAGAGAGAAAGAGTCCTGAGATGTTTTGATAATGCCGGGGAAAGCCACGTGCGTGGAAGGCAGTCAATGTCGTATCTCTCAGGAAAGTAAATGTTGTTCTCTGGGGAGGCTTCTTCATCCTCGTGGGCGATGAACAGTTTCAGGTCCCGTAGGTCTGGGGACGAAATGACTGACTTGAATGCAGCAGACTCCGTCAGTAGTTTGTCATTAAAGTCTTGGAGGTTAGACACCGTGATCGTGTTAACGTGAATCGGCTGAAGGAGCTGCTCATCTTCGTCGCTTAACTTAAGACCTAGAGATGTCTGCCATTCAGATGATTGGTCTTCGTACATCCTTGAGTGCACCCTGTTCATCCTACGTTCTTGACGGTTCGCATCCCACGTGCCTGCGAGGCACCGCATGACAGTGTCAAGAACCCAAAAACGAAAGTCGCAAGTCTCTTCAATTCCACGGAAAGATGAGTCGCCATTGCCGACATTTTCGTTAAAACGGATATTGACCGTCTTGACATTTGCAAGCATTCCGACAAATGATAGGGCGGCAAGAAACTCTTGTGGCATCGGGTATTCTTTGTTGGTGTTGTATTTGAACGACGGGCCAACCCAGGAGTCAAGAGTGAGCTCTCGGACCATCGTACGCAGATGTGTCGATCTAGCAATTTTCGCAAACACTGTGCAATCGCGGCACGCCTTGAGTGCAACATGGCGAAATGCGAGGGCTGTCGCGATGTTTCCGATTTTCTTGTTGAGCTGACAGCACGTCAAGAGATCTCGCTTAGGTAACCATGAGAAGATGAGGCGATGGATCTCATTTGGGAATGGGTGCAAGTTTGACATTATGGAAAATAGACTGACGGCGACCGGCTGAATACCAAGGATCTGAGGAAGTGTGTGTGAGAGAGAGAGAAGGAGAAAAGGAGACCTCGCCGTCATGAAAAACAAAACAGCGCGTGGTATGTTTTTGTTGGTTTGGTCGGGTCCACGTGCTGCGCCGCAGACATCACCGGTGGCAGCAGGCAGCGACGCAACGGTTCACGATCCATGTAGCTGCCACCTTGTGGTCTGCCAATGTACTCTACTTGTTGTTTTCTCACTGAGTACAGCGGTATATCGGGCGATTTCCATTTTACCGCCTTGATTTCCAATCCGTTCCGGATAAGAAGATAACAACAGCGTTATGAGGCCCATCACCACCAACACCAGATCTCGTCGCCGAAAGGGTGTGCTACCGATGATCATGAGTTCCGATCTACAAAAATAGAAAAGTTTCAGAGGGGAAAACAAGCTCGCGAATGATGACAAACTTGCAACAACTGCCTTCTCGTTGTTGAGGCTTCAACTGAAAGATCCTTGCGAATGTGTCTGTCCGAGCACCAAGGCGAATGCACACTGTCGCCTGATATCCTCACAACACCGCAGTTTCATGTCGCTACGTTTATGGACAGTGCGATTCCGCAGAACTCTCATTCCCACTGCCACACGTCATGAACTCTAATGCCCGACTTTCTCACGCGCTCCTCGCTCTCTTCGATCCCTTTCCTTCACACGTCTCCCAAGCGGCTGGAACCACAAACGGCGGCATCATGTGTTCAATGTCTCCGTCTTGAAAGGCGCCTTGATGTTCCTATCTGTATCGCTCGACAGCCTCAGCGCGCAACGACAATATGAACGCGATGATCGACGACGACACTGTGCAGCTCGTCCAGAGTGCCGAGCTAGCCGTGAGGATCGGGCCTGACGAGACCGTTATCCATGCTGACGCCGACAATGGACCGGGGAAGGAAGAGCACTGGAAGAGTGAATCGTATCTGGGAAGCGGCGGTGTTGGCTTGGTTTTCCGAGAGAAGTGCATTGTGGGACCGTCCTTCGGCCAACTGAGAGCAGTCAAGGAAATCCCGCGACCTAGGACCAAGAAGGACATTGACGTGGACATCATGAATGAGCTGAAGGGACTCACCATCCTTTCTCAGCCCCAGGTAATCACTATTCCATGTCTATTGTAGCAAAGCTGACCGCCTATAATTCAGTACGTGGCATACTTTGTAAAGACACTGGGTTGGTACCAGACGCCGTCCAAGGTGTTTGTGGCCATGGAGTTCCTTCCGCATGGAAATCTGCATTCGCATCTAATGGATCAAGGGCCCATACCGGAAGCCCAGGCGAGGCTCGTCATTCGACAGGTGTTCCGCGGGCTAGCATATATACATCAACATAATCTGGCGCATCGCGGGCTGAAACCATCGGTAAGCCTGACACAGTCTTTTCCTCGTAATCAGTAAGTTGACTAGTTATAGAATCTTCTCATCCGAACTCAACCTCCTGGGAACGAGTGGTGGATAAAGATTGGCGACTTTGGAATTAGCAAGCGACCCAAACGTACAATCAGCATGTCCTTGGCGGCCGGCGACACAATAGGCTTTATGGCGCCCGAGATCCTCGGTCTTTCTGGTATAACTGATGATCTTGCGCCCGACATCGCAGCTCAAAAGGGTGACATGTGGGCGGCCGGGGAAACACTCCACTTCATGCTAACATGCGCACACTCTTTCGGCGAGGACCTCGAAGCAGTTCGCGAATACTCCAATGATGGTCGATCATTCCCCAACGAGAGGCTCCAAGGCCAAGGGGTATCGTCCCCATGTGTCTCCCTAGTTCAAGACCTCATGTGCTCTCATCCGAAGCTCCGTCCCGATGCCGAACAGTCCCTCGACCACATTTGGTCTCGCATGATAAATCACTACTCAACGTCCTACTCACGAATATCCAGTCAAATCCGCTGCCGTGGACTGGAAGCGCCGTCGGTTACTTTCTCCCGTGACGGAGAGCGTCTTCTCGTAGTTTCTCCCGAGAAACTGTACTTGATCGAGTCCAACAGCGGAAGCGTAATCAAAAGCTACGAAGCTTCGGATCGAACATTTGCGAGCGCAGCAATATCTCCCGACGATAAATTCATCATGGTTCTGGAGGATAGTGGTCGCCTCAGTCGATTCGATGCGAAGAAGTTGAAGCTGCTCGAAGAGAGGGGGCCATTTGGCAAGATGCCAGCCGGTGACTGCTTTGTCTTGTACTCACATGACGGGCATTGTGTGGCAACTGCACATACCGGCAACTTCGTTATTTGGAGACTGAAGGGATCTGCTTTGCCAACAGCTGGTACTTGGCGGACAGGCAACTTCACCGTCCGATCTATGGCTTTCACCACGGACGATAAGAATATTGTGCTGGCACTCGACAGAGCTGTGCATATCATACCGCTGGAACCCGCCATCACCGGGACGGGCTATACTCGAGGAGAAGAGATGATCAAGTACCCGGTCTTTGGGCCTGTCACTGCTGTCTCGCCGGACGGGGCCGATTATGCCCATTGTGACTCGGATTACATCTATCTTTGGCGGGACAACGCCCAATGCTGGCGCCGTCAATACTATCACTCCGTGCCCACCTCCGCGGCTTCGTACTCTGCGTCTGGAGCAACCATCGCGACAATCGACAGCCGAGGAGGAGTCACGCTATGGCGAGCCCGGAGCATGAGCGAGGTAGGATGCATGAAGTTTCCGGAGGAGATGGTGGCTAGAGTTGCAGTCTCACCACCGCTAGGGAAGTATATCGCGTTAGGGTTAATGGATCAAAAAGGCCCCAGAGTTGTTGTTCGGGAGATTCTCAGCTTCGTGCCGTCGGATTAGAGGATCTTGGTCAGGAGAATGGTTCTCAGCTCATACGTTTATGATGAATGCAAAAAAGAAACAAGCTTGCCTCATGCCTGAATCGAACAGGCGATCTTCTCATTACTAGTGAGACGCTATACCACTTAGCCAATGAGGCTTCTAATTGCTTATAACGATACTTAGCTTCCAGAAGCTCATTTCGCCTCACGATGTGGATGCGTGGTTGTCCCACTTTGGGGTTGGGGCTCGCGATGGGTCGGTCCGGCAGATTGCAGTGTGGACCGCCTGGCACTGGCGTCGACCTCAGATTCTGTGAAAAATGTCTAACCATTGTTTCCGCACAGCAATGAGTAGAGTAAAAGGAATTTAATGCTTGGACTGGACTAGCTAGGTCAATAAACCACACTACTCGCGCTCCCAGGTGCCTATACGGCTCATGCTCTCACATGCAGACAGCCGACTACTGACTTCTTCCCAGCTGTCCGTACGGCAGATGCAAACTTGCCAAGAATCTGTGCTCGTAAACTCATCAAGTACATCTTGGCGCATCCAGAACGTGGCAGTGCGTGTAGCTGTCGAGAATCTGAATGCCGTCACAATGTGAATAGAATTCTCCCTGAACTTGCGTGCCGAGTCCGATGAGTTGCCTTCTTCGTCGTCCGAGAGGAGCTCCCGGAGATCAAAGTTTCGCGGATCGACTTCAGTTGTGTTGAAGATCGCGAGGACGAAGTGCATTACCCGACCCTGAGCCTCGAAGAATCCAGGAAACGCTACAGTGCATTCAATGACCTTTTCAGCAGGAACCAAGGCACTTTCCGGAGCGATGATACCGAAAGGAAATAAACAAATCCAAAGACTGAGTAAAGTCGTGAACTCAGCTCTCCAGGGATTCAGACAGATCTTGCGCTGTGGGTAGGACGTGCTCAAATTTTCAGGGCTGACAACAAGTTCCCGAGGGGCCCGCGCGGTTGTACTAATGCTTCCTTCGCATACAGAGGATAGCATGCCCGATAGCCAGTGCGCCGGGTAACCGACGTCGTGCATATGACCGACTATCCTCAGGAACGTCGTCAAGTTCAAAGGGGCGTGAACTGGACGATCCGACAACTTCGGCCGAGGGTAGGGAAGACAAATCTTGAGCAAGTGAAGATATAACCAGCGCTCCAGGGCAGATCGTGACATCAATCGCTTGCTGAGAGTGGTCTTAGTGCTGGACTTGGCCCAGATGAAGTAATCCTCAATTGCGAATTTGTTGCCCCCAAACATCTGCAGTAAGGCGGCTTCATCCACCTCAGGAGGGTTAGGATTCTTTTCCCGGGTGACACCAAAATTGCCCTCAACTTCCTTAGCATCGTGCATGAGAATATACTACGCGAGGAACTGATCGTGACTTTTGAACATGGGAGGGTTGAGGAGGTTGTTGAACCTTAGGTTGGAAGGTCGATCCTGGCGGAGAAGAGGCCCGCCGGTGAGAAAAGCAGCCAAAGGCCCGCCAATATAGTCGCTAGATAGTTCAAGTTCAGCAACCTCTGTGAGATGTGATGATTGGCTGTATGAAATACATTATTTGACTTACGGTATATTGCTCATGTGAATGCGGTCGTACTCCCGGGGAAACTGGGTAGGGTCAATCGCTTCAACATCGTTGGGTCGCTGCAAGCGATGCTTCAAGTTGCCGTGCCTAATGCGGTCCAATACGTCCGCCATCTCTCCGGCAATCACCTCAATTTTGATGCGGCTATGAAGGGTCATCATGGCAAGTGAGAAATGCTCAAAAAATTCGCTCACAATTTTGAGAACGTCTTCTTCCTTTTCAGTGCTCAAGATACTGCGCAAGCTTTTGATCATCTCCGCAGGATTCCAGTCAAAGCCCGGAGGCACTTCCGATAGACCTTGCGAGGCTCTGATTTCTTGCTCTCGCCGGGGCTGGTAATCCATGTCAAGGACTGTAGGGTTCGTAACCCAGTGAGTGTCGATGTGCTTCAGGAGCTCCGCCTTGGAACTTTGCCTCCCGGATCGGAAAGCGTCCAGCAGTGGCAGCAGTTCCGGCTCTCGTCTTTTGATGAAAACTTGGTTGCCAAAGACGACACCTAACTCATTGAACTCTTGGTCACTTCTGTTCTCGTACGGAACTTTTGCAGCATCGAAGTTCAACATCATGCTCCTCCGAAACTTCTCTATCTCAAGATTTTCCATCATGAGAGGACGAAGCCTTTTCGTAGCGTACTTTTCCCCTAGAGGCTCAGCCCATTGTTTGAGCTTGCGGACAACTTGTATCCGTGTCTCCCTTGGAAGGTAAAACATGCCCATGAAGTCAGACCCGACTCCGTCGCCTTGCTCCTCCAGCTCATCAATGACTGTTCGAATGTGCTCAAGCATCTTCTCGGCAGCGAATGATGGCATGAATGCCGAAGAGAACATGTAAGACATGACTATGAGGGCATCCTCAATACGCGGCATCTTCTGGGTTTTCATGGCAGCGTATCGGAAACCCATATGGAAAATGAGTAGAGTCCTTGCCAAAGCAGCGGCGTTGATGTCGATGATGGTGAAGTATGCTTGCGTAAAGGCTTTATTCTTCCCTTTCCGCTGATTCATCATGTCCTGGAAAAAGAGAGTGGCTATCGATATGAATAGATGACGAGCATCACCGCTGCCACAAAGGAGGAATGACAGCGTGTCTTTTGGTCCAAGAAGTTCCCAGAGTGGCTCATCAAGCTGGAGCAAAGGCTCTGCGAAATCATGGCCGACGGCGTAGTACTCAGGAATGTCTTGTCTGGACAATGAGTGTAAATAAGCGGAATTTTGAAAACATCCATGGATTGATAGAACGTACAGAGAGGCTTTGTATCTTGCCACGCGGTCACAAGTCTGCGTACGCAGCTTGTCGCCATCTTGTACAGAGGCCCTCAGACCTTTGAGATCCTCGAGGGAAGCTTTCAAACTCTGACTTGAGGTATCAACCCCAAGATTCTTAATGGCGCTTTCCGCAGCCTCCCCGTACGCTTTCTCTGCTAAGAAAGATCTTCAGTACCGGCGTCGACACAGTGGACTTTGAATCACAAACCTTCAGCGAATTGACCTTTGCGATAAAAGCCGTTCCCGCGCTCTCGGGCCGCGGAGGATTCTAGTGGTGGACTGGAAGACGCCATTTCGGATAATGGTCACGCGTCGCGTCCTGTGTCTGTTCCAGTACTGTCGTTGCTCAACGTGGCAGGTTTCGTCCAAATTCTCAACCCAGCTGGGTGCCGCACACTAGCAGGCTTAATGCTTCGAAGTATTAGAGGACGAGACCCACTGTCTCGCACTTAGTCATCATGTCGTCAAGCATTTCAATTCTATTATCCGTAAGGGATTCGGTCTTCATCTTTTACCTCAAGCTGCATGTATCTGACGGCGGAGATCTAGTATCGATAAACCCACTTGGAAGGATTCTTCCCCGTGCCCGCGGGCCCCGACCAAGCTTGTGCTTTGATAGTCCAAAATACCGGTGTGAACGCCATCCTACAATCATGCAGCCCCGATCTTGATTGCCGGCTTTCCCCCTGTCCTGGCAGTCCATGGTGCAAATGCCCCGATGTGATTGGCGGGTCGACCTGCCCTATTCAGGCAAAGGCTAGCAGTCTGTACTTGACGCTCGCTAGGATGGCATCTATCTGAACATCATGTGAAGTGAAGATGAAGTTAGGTATTCGGGAAAGTATAAATGAAAACTTCTTCAATGACCTTTATGGTTCTATTCTTCCAACTTTCAGTCAAAAGCTTTCGAATTTTCCTCTTGAATAATGACATCGAAACTATCTTACGCGCATCCACTCTCCCCCCTCAGCATTGAGGAGACCGCCTCCGCAGCAAATGTCATTCGCGCCTTGCATCCTGACACGATTCTTCACTTCCGGGTTATATATCTTCGAGAGCCTGACAAGGCAGATCTTGTCAAGTTTCTTGACGTTGAACATGCTGGAAGGCTGACACCCGAGACACCAAGGCCTCCGCGTCTGGCCTCAGTGCACTATGTTGTGGTAGCCAACCAAGAGGAGCCTCAATCAATCGAAGCCATCGTCGACCTGGAGAAACTTGAGTCTGTATGGGAGAAAACTGTCAAAACCGACGTTCACCCGAGCTTCACATTGTATGTCCCGTCATGTGAAGACCTAATGACGTATTCAATCCCTTAGGCAACTTACCTTACTAACCCGCTTGCAATATAGGCATGAACTTCAAGAGACTGTCAGAATCTGCAATGCGTCTGAAATTCTGCAGTCCAAGATTGCGGCCCTTTCACTTCCCGAGGGGTTCGAAGCGGTCATCGAACCTTGGCCCTATGGCGGTCTCGACATTCATGACGAGAATCGCCGATATTTCCAGGCGCTTGTCTTTGCCATTGACAAATGGAAGAACAACCCGGATGCCAACTTCTACAGCTATCCGCTTCCACTCATTCCTGTGGTTGATTGGATCAAGCAAGAGGTTGTCCGGGTTGACGAACTGGCCACTGGAGGCGTGGATGACCCTTGCGTTGCGCAACCCAGGGGAAAGGGTATTATTGACCACTGCCAGCCTTCCGAGTACGTGCCGGAACTTCTTGAAACAAAGATGCGAGATGATCTTCAAGAGCTCAATGTTCTTCAGCCCAACGGACCTAGCTTTAGTGTCAAAGACGAGAGTCTGGTGGAGTGGCAGAAATGGAGGATGCGCGTCAGCTTCAACCCCAGAGAGGGCGCCGTCATTCATGATGTTCTTTATGATGGACGCAGTGTGCTGTACCGACTATCCATCAGCGATATGACGGTTCCCTACGCTGATCCTCGCAATCCATTCCATCGCAAGCAAGCCTTCGACTTTGGCGACGGGGGTATTGGCCACTGTGCGAATAATCTCGAGCTTGGATGCGACTGTCTTGGGGTCATCAAGGTAAGCTCTTGCGTGACAAATGCGTGGTTCTCTGCTAACATTGGACAGTATTTTGATGGTGTTCTGAACCGCCCGGACGGTACAGCTCACAGCTCGCCTAACGTCATCTGCCTCCATGAGCAGGATAACGGCATAGGCTGGAAGCACACAAACTGGCGGACAAACAGAGCCGTCGTGACCCGGCGGCGAGAATTGGTCATTCAGTTCATTTTGACCGTAGCCAACTACGAATACGTTTTCAACGTGAGTGCAAGTTTTCTTGGTTTTGAGTAGCAGCTGACGGTTGACCTTTCTTTCCAGTACAAATTCGACCAAGCTGGAGGTATCACAGTTGAAACAAGAGCGACCGGCATCTTGTCTGCAGTCAACATCGATGCTGGCAAAGCGGTACCGTGGGGAAATATCGTATCCCCTGGCGTGCTTGCTCAGAATCACCAGCACATCTTTTGCGTACGGATCGACCCGGCTATTGATGGCCATGAAAATACGCTGGTACAGCAAGAATCGCTCCCACTTCAGATTGACACCAGAACAAATCCCAACGGAAATGCGTACAAGGTTGAGGAAACGCCAATCACAACATCGGTCGGTCTTGATGCCGCTCCCCACAATGCACGATTGTTCAAGATTCAGAATTTGAGCAAGCATAATCCAGTCAGCGGAAAACCAGTTGGATATAAGATCGTGCCTCCGCCTACTCAGCTTCTTTTGGCGGATCCTCGGAGCCGCCAGGCTCAAAGAGCACTTTTCGCTCATCATCATCTTTGGGTGACGAAGTACAAGGATGACGAACTTTACGCTGGAGGTCGCTACACCTTGCAAAGCACGATTGAGGAAGAGGGAGTGTCAGATGCAGCTGCGCGATGCGATGATGTCTTACAGAATGATATCGTCATTTGGAGCGTATTTGGGCTCACTCACAACCCACGTGTTGAGGATTGGCCTGTGATGTAAGCCCCAAACAACTTGGTGTCGGAAACTTACCACTAACCATATGTGGGCAGGCCCGTCGAAACCATTCAGCTGCACATCAACCCGGTGGACTTCTTTACGTCGAATCCAGCCCTCGATGTACCCTCGAACCGTAATTTGACGTCTAAGTACGCAGGCGAGACAAATTCAGACACTGTCAACGGGAAGGACTTGGGGGCGTCGTGCTGTAGATAAGAGCTGCGACTGGAATGAATGTTGGATATGGTAGCTGGTTCTTGCGCTTCCCGCACAAAGTTAGACTCAAGTTGGTTCAAAGAGGCCTGCCGTGTATCCTCGTTGCTTTATTCATTATCATTATACGGTCTTAGAAGACCGCAATCTCTACTCCCCTAGTCTGAGCCGCATTCTCAACATCGAAGCTATCTGAGCCCTCCTTCCAGGCCGCTTCAAGGATTTCGTCAATCATCTTCTGAACATGGAAAGAATCCTTCTTGTTGAATGATGCCCTCACGTCGTCCAAGACCTCCTTCCACTCCGGGTGCGCAGCTAACAAGGGAACTTCTACGCTGGCCGTAACTAGCGGATAGATGAGGCCATTGTGAACCAGCAAGTGGTGATTTGCGGGTATCTCAACTGCTCGAAATAAAGAGTAAATGGACGCAACAAGGCGGCACATGACAACTTCCGTCGAAGGAGATAGCGCTGAATCGGTTGATTTGCCATATGTCGGTGATACCTTCGGCGTTGCGTCCGCCGCGACGCGTTTTGCCCGCCTCCCTCGCCTCCTCACATCCAGGACCGCTGAATATCTCCAGCAGTCCCACAGAATGCATTGCGCATGCATGCCTATCTCGCCAGGCCAGGCCCAGAGCCGCGCCTCTAGGTCTTGTCTCTCACTATCTTCGATGTCAGCTAGAATGTCCAGAAATGACCTCGGTAACCCCGAGACCACCTCTACGCCCCCGAGTCTTCCCCCTTCCCACTTGTCTTGATGCTTCCGCAGGTTGCGCCAAACACCCATGCTCGGACTTATCCTTCCTATCACTGATGTTGGTAGGTCCATGATAGATAACACCTCGATGGAATGCCGTGTGGGGAAGTCGTGGTCGACAGACGGCACTAGGACGTCAAGCTTCGTGTCGAGATAATAAAGGTCCGCCATGAGCTGCAGATACATGGTGAAGGGGCGGGCTTGAAGTAACTATGCAGCCAGAATTAGTTCGCGACCATGAATCGCGGTAAATCACGCAGCTTAGCAAGGACTTACGCATAGAGTGCAAACGAGGATGCCCGCCGACATGGTCGAGACATCCAAAGAGCCATGCCGGCCTTCCAGTTCCGCTCGGAATGTTTGCAGGGCATGGTCGACATGTTCCATCGCCAGTACCGAAAAGCCATCATCCATATACGCTTGGATGGCGGTGCAGACGACAAAAAAGGCCTGGCTCTTTTCTGCCATTGCCTGGAAGTGTGACTGGAGCCAGATGTAACTTTCTGTCGTATACAAGCGATGCAAACCGGCATTCAGGACTTGGTACACAAGTCAGCCGTGGATCGTATCTTGGATCTAGACAACTGGGGAAGGACGGCTTACACTTATTGAACAATTGCCGTTTTGGGTCAATGTTTGCGCCCGGCGACGGCGCCAAGGGAGAAACAACCCCAGACTCGGAGGCGGAGCCGGTCTGCGTGATCCCTTCGGCTCCGGGAGGGGAGGTAGAAGAGGAGGTGGATGGGGCGCTGGCCACCTGCAAATGTGGATCCTCGGTGCTCGGCAGATGATTTGAGTGTGGGAGTTTGCTGGGCTCCGAGCTGGAACTGTAGAAAGAGACGTCAGGGATCGCGGCTCCAGCAAAGCGACCACGAGAGGCTATTCCGTTGGTCCACTTGAGCGTTGTGTTGTAGCCTTCGCACTGGATTCCGCGCCGCTGGCAGGCCCGACAGTCTGGACGCGTCTCGTCACATTTCCTCTTCCGCCGCTTGCAGTTGGAGCAGCCTCCCCTGGAACGAACCATGTTTGCCCGAACAGTGATCTGTGAGTGGACAGTGGAAACAGGCCCTGCGGATAGTGGGCGTCGTGTATCTTGTTCGGCGAGCTGGCAGGTCCCGATGTCCGTCGGGAGGGGGAATGTCTGGTCGACGTGTTGGGCAAGTTTCTTTTTAGGAGATAAGCTACTCCGAAGAGGCAGAAGGAACCGAGGCGCATATATATGCCCTAAGGGGCATGGCTCAGACGCCTCAACCAGGGGTCTGAGCACGCTGTTGCAGCTTTACAAAATGCGGGGACTGACAGGCTAAAGCGAATAAAGTTCCCGGTCGTCATGCTGAAGCTGCTTGGAAACGGGGTCATGACAAGTTCCTGCAGGGAATTGCTAGTGAAGGGTGTGGCATCAAAGTTGATTTTCACGCGGCGGCTATCCAAACGCGACTGCAGACACACGCGGGAATGCAGCCAAGTCCTGGCATCAGATGCAGTAGGGTCGCTACACGTCTGGCCCTGCAGGCCTGTACGCCCTTATCATTTGACAGATGACTGGGGCTAGGCTACGGATGATCGCCAATAAAGTCTAACACGTCTAAAGAGGGTTAACCTGGACGCATGTCTTATCGCTGGACGTCCTCCTGGGTTGACAGGAGGACAGAACGTCGGTAGTTGCAACGACACAACATCAGGGTCATACCAATCCAAGATATATCGAATGGCTGTCTGCCTCAATTTCCTGAACTTTTGGATGATCTCCAGCGACCATCAACAGTTAGGCTGGATCCTAGCACTCAATTTACCTACGCTACCGTGTTTCTTTGACCTCTTGACTACCGACCAAAGCTTCCTATGGATAACTCCTCATCACTGGGTGTGCAGTCCACCCCTTTACCCCCTGGAACTGTCCACTTAATAAGCCGTAAGACATACCCACCGCCCGAAACGGCTTCATGTTGACCCAAACTCAGATGAACAAGCCACAGATTCATCCACGTTCATTCTTTCGCCCGTCCCATCTTCGGATCCAAACGACCCCTTGGTACAGACCTACGTGAACTCTCGGGAAGGTGGCTTGCTGACGAGTGTGTCTGGCATCAGAACTGGAGCAGATGGCGCAAGTATCTCAATTATGGCCTGGCCATGGGGGTGACGGTCGCTGCTTTCACCAAGTGAGTCCTACTTCGACGGTGAAGTTGCTAGGCGGAAAGGCTGACACATGAATCACGCGAATAGTCTATCGATCCAGACCGTCTTCTGGCAGCAAATGACCGTCGACCTTGACGTGAGCATTGCCCAGCTTAGCAACGCACAGTCAGCTCAGCTTGCAGGACTCGCAACCGGATGCATCTTCTTCATCCCCTTCACCATCAAGTACGGCCGGCGACTCACATATTTGGTCTCAACGGCCATTCTGGCCGCTGCCGCTTGGTGGACATCGTCGATGCACTCATACGCAGAGTTGATAGTCACAGCAGTTATAACTGGTTTGGCTGGGGCGATCAACGAGACCGCAGTCCAGATGACGGTACGCTTGCATAGATAAAAAGACAGGAAAGGGGGCATGTGTTTGCTAACTGGTTCCCAAGATTGCCGACCTCTTTTTCGTACACCAACGAGGATCTGCCAATGGTCTTTACTTCATTGCCGTCATGGCGGGTAGTTTCCTCACGCCGCTGGCTGCTGGTGTGCAAGCCGTTTCTCAGGGATGGCGTTGGTCATACTACGCTCTTTCTATCGCTCTCACGATCCTCTTCATCATGTTCATCTTCCTCTACGAAGAGACAAAATACGTGCCGATTACCGTCGGTCAGAGCCAAGAGATCGAAACAGAGCCCACGGATATTGACAACGGTCTAACCAAGATCAAAAGCACAGAGAAAAGCGGACTCGAACTCAACTACACACAGTCGAACGTTGACCAGGCTATCCGCATGAACACCTATCGCGAACGTATGCGTCTCGTGACCCCGACTTCAGAATCCCTTCTGCGCGTCTTCATTTTACCCCTACATGTGATCACGCTCCCTCATGTCCTCTTCACCGCCCTTCAGTTCGCGTCAGGCGTTTGCTGGTTGGTGTTGTTCATGTCTGTTGTATCAGTGGTCTTCTCTGCCCCTCCCTACAACTTTGACACTGCTGCTGTGGGGTATATGACACTTGGACCGTTCGTGGGGAACATCTTTGGCAGTCTCTACGGCGGGCCATTTGCTGACTGGGCCGTCCTTCGCCTAGCGAAGAGAAACGGTGGTCTTTTTGAGCCTGAGATGCGACTTTATCCTCTTTTCCTACCGGTGATCACCATGGCCGGAGGAATCGTCATGTTCGGAGTTACAGCAGACAGGGTAAGCTCAGTCTCAGCTGGGTCATTACAATGGCAGAAAACTGACAAGAATAGGGGATGCATTGGATCTACCCCAGCATCGGCGGGGCCTTTTTCGCCTTTGGGCTGGGCGCCAACGGAGACATCACCTTCACGTTGCTAATCGACACCTACCGAGAGGTAAAGTCACTGTAACCGTCAAACCGTACTAGATACTGACTCCTGTTTCCCAGCTTACTGCTGAGGCTTTTGTGGGCGTGGCCTTCATCCGCAACGCCGTCAGCGTTGGTGTTCCCTCTGCTCTCGTTCCTTGGATGTCGAGCATGGGTCTCAGTAACATGTACATCCTCAGCGGGGCGATTGCTTTGGTCATTGGACTCCTGTACGTGCCGATGATTATCTGGGGCAAACGGATTCGAACGGCCCTGGCGCCCCGGTACTGGCGATTTGTGGAGAAACGCATGAAGATTTAGTGTGCAATTTTATTGCCTGGTTGGGTTAGGAAGATGTTTGGGGGCTTGGGCGGTTCGCACCCGCACACACCCGCACATCCACCCGCAGCCTGCAGGACCCTTGTCTTCCATCCTCCTTGTTGCAAGCCATATGTCTCGTTGTATCTACTGTCAATAGCATTGGTGTCCTTAAACTTGGTAGCCTGTATTATATTCTTTGGGTTATGAACAAAACATGAAGGTTTAGATCCATTGATTTCTCCTTAGAGCTTCTCAGCTGGCTTGCCAGGAAAATTTGTCAACCGGTAGCAATCAATGATTGGCTTCCCCTCAAACATCGTCATAACACCGATAGCAAAGACTCCATTCATCCAGTCATAAGGGCTGCCTCCAGGAGCCTCAAACTTGATATGCGTGAAGTACTCTACGTCGTCCTGAGACGCCGTGGGGGTCAACTTCTCTGTCTGTCCCGGACCGCTTCGATAGATACCACGTGCGTTGACCAAGATAAACACTCCATCGTTGGTTTGGAGTGTGTATCGGGCATTTAATCTCGAAAACACCTAATGAAATCATGAGACCCGCGATCGATAACGCGTATCTGATATCAGTCACTGACCTTCCCAGGGCTGACCTGCTCCGCCCAGTCTGCGCCGCTGCGCTCCACTATCTTGCCTTCGATTCTGGGCCCTTTCACCGAACCGCTCAAAATGGGCAATACAAGCCGCGTGGTACCAGTGTTGGCCACGTTGCGTATCTCGGACACAGACGGATCCATATCGCAGACGATCCGATAGATGAAGTCCAGATGCGGCATGCGCATGGGTGGCACATCAACCCCGCTCGGAGTGAACGCGTTCCCCGGGGATGGAGTGTGAGCGGAGTCTCTTCCTGACCACATGTTTGCGGTAACGTGCTTGCCGGATAATCCCTGTGTTGCGAAGAAATGGGTGATCGAGTCGGGGATTGACGCAGTTCTGGCGCTAATTGGGGTGACAGATGATGGCTGAAAACGCCGCCCGTTAAATATTGTTTTTAACACGACCGACGAGATCACAGAGGAGAACCTTCTCTCCCGACTCCATTTGCCGGGGTTTGAGATGCGGGACACACACCTCACTACGGCCTCGGCACTCGGCCGGCACAGCTCCCCCAAGCTCCGGCGCCATCTCCTTCCCAATCGAGATAATAGACGCGCCGCCACTTTTCCGAGCTTGCTATTGATAACATCAAGATGATCCCAAGTTCGTTGATCACTGACTTCCTGATAAGCGAGCGCGGCTGATGTGCAGTTCCGAGAATCGTTCCGCTGCCTGCATAGTTGTCATCTGAAGTCTTGCATCAGCATCAAGCCACCCCTTCTCTTGCCCTTCTCTTTCCTCGACCAGTAACCACCAGCATTTCACGATGCCTACAGCCATGGAGTGGGAAGTCATAGCTTCTCGTCACAGAGAGAAGCAACAAGCTTCGATACCCCAAGAATGGGTGCTGTCAGACCAGAAGCTTCGAGAGCTTCAAGGTGCTGGAACACCCAAGGAGGGGCAGTTGAACGCTCTCGATGTTGCACGAAAGTCGGGACTGTTTACGGATATTGAACTTGAAATCACCGAGTCTTACAGTGCAAAGGAGCTCTTAGCCAAGATTCACGATGGAAAGCTCACGTCTGAGGAAGTCACAGTAGCATTCTGCAAGCGGGCGGCTCTGGCGCAACAGCTTGTAAGCGATCTCGTCAAACTTCATACTTCGAAAACTAACGAGAATTAGATAAATTGCTTGACCGAGATATTTTTTGCTGAGGGTATCGCGAGAGCTAGAGAACTCGATAAACTTTTCAAGGAAACAGGAAAGCCCACCGGTCCTCTGCACGGTCTCCCGATCAGCGTGAAGGTCAGCTGCCTACCAGTAAGAGACGTCGAGTCAACTAGCTAAAAGAGACAGGACTCCTTCAAAGTAAAAGGCCATCACGCCACGGTCGGCTACGTTGAGTTTCTCAAGCGACCTCCGCCAACGACAAATTCGGCGATGGTTGACCTTTTGCTGGACTCGGGAGCTGTATTTTTCTGCAAAACGAACGTTCCACAGACGATGATGGTCTGCAATCCCGATCCCCTGGAAACCTTTCCCGACTCATTTAACTAACGGGGCAATGACACAGACCGCAGACTCTGAGAACAACATCTTTGGCAGAACCCTGAATCCGCACAAGACCTCCCTCACAGCTGGCGGCTCAACAGGCGGGGAGGGTGCTCTCGTATCATTCCGCGGCTCTGTTCTCGGCGTCGGTACCGATATCGCAGGCTCCATTAGAATCCCGTCCCTGTGCTGCGGCATCTACGGCTTCAAACCGACCGCCGATCGGACGCCTTTCGGGGACCAGTCAAACTACCCATTCCCAAAGGTCCACCTGCCTGGTGTGGTGCCCGTGGCGGGCCCCATGGCGAATTCAGTCGACGATCTGTTCTTGTTCATGGAAACTGTGCTCTCGCAGAACCCATGGAGATATGACGCCTCCGCAATCGCCGCACCATGGAGTGCTCCCAAATCTGACAACGACAAACGTTTGACAGTTGGAGTACTTCCGGAAGACCCGGAGTATCCCATGCACCCTCCCGTTCGTCGAGCCCTCGAGGACGCAGTCTCCGCTTTGCTGAAGGCGGGACACAAGGTCATCAGGCTGCCGCAAGATCCTGACTGTAGCGCCGGGCTTGGCGGAAGATTGGGATTCCAGTACTTCTTCATGACTTCAGATGGCTTAGACGTCCTCGCAAACGAGATCGGGGAACCTCTCGTCCCTTCCGTGAAGCGAGGGGTGCATCCCTTCACGAAGACGATGCCTCCGGTTTCCGCAGATAAGCCTGTTGCACACCAGCTCAGCGATTTTCTCGGTCTCCGTGATGCCTATGCCGATAGCTGGCGAAAGACGTGGCGAGAACATGGACTTGATGTCGTTATCGGGCCAGGAGCCATCAGTACCTCTGTGCCCCACGACACGTATGGTAACCCAGTTTACACATTGATGTGGAATGTGTTGGATGTAGGTTTATGGACTACTGATGAAGGAATTTGGTCGCTGACTTGGGACAGTATCCTGCTGGTATCATCCCGTACGGCTTTGCATCTAAGGAGAAGGACCCCTCGCCCGAGAAGGCTGTGGCGGAATTTGAGGCAGACTGTGAGTTTGAGAGGCCCTAAAACACTGCCTAGCGCCAAACAGAGATGCTGACCGTTGTAAGACGACCCGGAAGCGAGCGATGGAGCTCCATGCTCAATCCAAGTGGCTGCCCCTCGATTCCATGATGAGCAGTGCTTAGAAGCGATTCGGATCATCGACAGAGACATCAGAAGGTAGAGCGTTACCAAAGGCACCAAGAGCAAGCACAGAAAGATGCCCTCAGGGTTGGGATCATGTTTTCTCTATAGTCTTATCTTGGTCACCCTTGATTTCTAGACCGTGGCGGGTTCGAAACTGCGCCAGCCATTCAGAGTTATCTGCAACGGTCTGGTTCCACTCGTCGTCACTGTCATAAATGACCCGTCTTGACTCCTGCCTGAGCATATCGTCTGTAGGGTTAATCCCCTGCGCCATATATTCGTCCGCGAAGTGCTTCAGGCGTCGCTCCAATATCTCGGTAAACGCTTTGGAAGTCGCGGCTCTCGAGGTCAAAACCGATGGCGAGGGGAGTGGGTCGGGTTCCCTGAGCTCTGTAGACAATTCCTCCGCAGTGTCTTTAAATCCATGTGTCCGAGAGGATATTTGAGCAAAGTGATCTTTTGTGCCTTGTTTGGTTGCTGAGAACGGTACCACGCTCATGGACTCTGATCCGATGAGGTAAGGTGGCAGAGCATGAACTACCTGCTCTGCAACCGCGGGTGTGAAACCATGCTCTCCTTTCCAGTCCTTCATTGTCAAGCCTTTTCGGAAATGTGTCGCAAGATGGTCGGTTCTCTTGTTCCACGTCATTAGCGCCATACCACAGAATCCACACCGAGAGGTGATCTCCATGGACTGAACCTTCCAATCGTCGAATCGGGGTAGCTTCTCCAGCTTGTGCATAACGCGTAAGTGTTGAACAAGGTGATCCTTTCGTCCAAAGGAGCGTGCTTCGACTGGTCGGTCGTGGCAGGCGCTATGGTTGTGCATATCGAGATGTTCTTCTGTCGGGTCTATGGCGCTGCAGTATGCGCAATGGGGCCGCCCCGTCACTGCCGACATAACAGAGCCTCCACGGGGAGCACACATCCAGGACTCCAGATTCAGATGTCGAGATTTCTCATGCCGAGCCCAGTCATACTTCGTCTTGAAGTTATCGCAACAAAACGTACACTTGAACGGGCGGCTGTCCTTCGTCGTGATGCTCTCACGCTTCTTCCCAACGCGGCCTTGGCGGGTTCGATTCAAGGGGCCGAATCCAGCTCGTCTTCCTCTTGACGCCTCTGATATACCAGACCATGCAGAATTGGCCGACTGCATCGAAGAGCTGCTCCCGCCACTGTCAGCGCTTGTACCAGAATTAGCCCGGGAGTACGCTGGCTGAGATCGACTATGTCCATCTTGCGAATCAACCTGATTTGTTCTGAGCGCATCAAAGATAGCTGCCATCGAAGCAGGCTCATCTTGAGGCGGTGAATCCTTCCATCGTTGCAACGGATCTGAGTCTTGCTGGGCTGTAGGAGAGGCTGGTATCGGGATTGGTACAGCCCTTTGTTCAGATTGCATGTATCGGTACCGACTTCGCCTACGTGGGAGGCCGCGGCGTCCCCTGAGCTCTTGCTCTTCAACTGCTGCGGACCAGTTGATGTTGTCCGAAGGCCTTGTAACTGGTCCAGGGAGTGGCCATTGAAGGTTGCTTAACTCTTGTGCCGGGTCGTCGTAAGACAGGTCGTGTCCAAACCATGACGAATTTTCGCCGTGGGAGATGGGCTCCGCTTGTGACATGTCCCCGGACCAGAGGTGGTCGGAACTCTCGGACATCAGGCCGGGGTGAGTTGTGCCGGATACGGCGGCATCTGGTGCCGGCCATGGCGGGTGGGAGCCGATGAAGCCTCCATCTGAGTTGCCAGAGGCTAGTCCAAGCAGCGAATCAAGAACTTGCTGGTCAAGATAGGCCTGATCTTGTGTATGATTTGAGACGCCATTTGTTGTAGAGCGTGTCGTGCGACGGTATGCACCGCCGCTCCCATCTGCAGGATCGCCAGCGGTCATCGGTCTCTCGGAGTTAAGTGGTTGTTGAGCTTGGAGCAGATTGGATATTCCTTTTTCGCGCGCCCTAGACACTGTGACTGGGCACATAGGGAGTTAAAGGCAACAATCACACTACGCCTATCTCCTCTCGTAGCGACCAGATTGCTGGCGGTATGTGGAGAATAATTAGGAGAATTCCATGAACGTCCTACGCCTTAGGGCGTGAAGTTACTACTATGAGCTAAGCGTCTCCGGATCCACGTGACGCGGAGAAAGCGGAGACTCTATGTCTTTGGCAGTTGTGGTGTGCTGTCAAAGCGTGAAGAATTATTTTGGCGTCGAATCCAAACCCCGGGAAGAGGGTGCAGACACCGAAGTTTTTGCAGAAAGACCGTCGCCAGTCTATGCCATCTTTGCTTGTAGGTACTCGGCCCGATGTTTGTTACGAGACAATACATGATGAAAGAGGTCCTTGCCACTCCGGGTTTCATGATATCCGTAAGGCGCCACTCTACTGGTTCGTAACGAATTAGGGACGAACCTTCATTTAGTGCCCAGGTAGATTGAGTCAAGCCCGTCGCCTCTCTGGACATACTGGACTTAAAATAACCTCAGGTATGTGCCCGAGACGAACGGCGACA